GATGATGTCATTAACTATGTAGTTCAGAATGTAGAAAACATGTTTACACCTGAAGACATTTTACAAAACTGTCCCATTTGGTCATATGATGTTGCAGACCAAATTTCTAATAGTATTAATGAACTTTTTGAGATGATAATATGTATAATGTCATAGATACTGGTGAGGATGATGAAAGTTAACTGTAGAAAATTTCAAAATCATTGAATATATTTTGTTATTATGCATAAAAAAGGAGACTGTGTGCATTTTGTAATAAAGCATTGCAGGTTTTTAGCTCACCTGAGCCAAAGGCTCAAGTGAGCTTTTCTGATCAAAATTTGTCTGTCGTCGTTCTTGTCGTTGTTGTAAACTTTTCACATTTTCATCTTCTTCTCAAGAACCACTGGGCCAATTTCAACCAAACTTGCCACAAAGTATCATTGGGTAAAGGGGATTCAAGTTTGTTCAAATGAAGGGCCACGCCTTCTTCCAAGGAGAGATAATTAAGAATTCGTGAAAAATTAATGGCATCATTAAAAAATCTTCTCAAGAACCAATGTGCTTGAAAATATGAAACTTATGTGGAAGCATCCTCAGGTAGTGTAGATTCAAGTTTGTTCAAATCATGACCCCTGGGGGTCGGGTGGGGCCACAATGGGCGATCAAAGTTTTACATAGGAATATATAGGAATAATCTTTAAAAATCTTCTTCTCAAGAATAGCAAAACCATGATTGGTCATATTTATATGGTAGCATCCTCAGATAGTGCAGATTCAAGTTTGTTCAAATCATGACCCCCGGGGGTCGGGTGGAGCCACAATGGGCGATCAAAGTTTTACATAGGAATATATAGGAAAAATCTTTAAAAATCTTCTTCTCAAGAACAGCAAAGCCATGATTGGTCATATTTACATGGAAGCATCCTCAGATAATGTAGATTCAAATTTGTTCAATTCATGACCCCCCCCCCCCCCTCCCCGAACCACTTTTTTATTTAAACTTTTCAACCTTTCAAGACTGAACTGATTTCTGCTTTTTCCTTGCCATAGTGCTCAGGTGAGCGATGTGGCCCCTGGGGCTCTTGTTTAGGTCACCTCAGTGTCTCAGGTGACCTATTGCTATCCGTTCTCGTCCGTCGTCGTACGTCGTGTGTTAACATTTTAACATTTTTAGCTTCTCCTCTGAAACCGCTTAACCAATTTCAACCAAATTTGGCATATAGCATCTATGGGTGAAGGGAAACAATGATTGTGAATTTCATGGTCCCTGCCCCCCTGGGGCCTGAGGGGTGGGGCTAAAACCACCAAAAATAATGTAATCTTTAAAAATCTTCTTCTCTACTCCAGGACATCAAGCAGTCAAACTGTTGGCATCATTGTAATAAGCATTGAGCCCTCTACCAAAATCGTGAAATTCATGGCCCCAGGGTCAGGGGTTCTGGCCCCAGGGTGAGGCTATATAGATCATATAGTGAAAGTGCATTATTTCTTTGAAAATCTTCTCTGCTCCTGGGTATTAAATTAAGTAACTAAGTACATAGTTATGAAGTACAAGAGTGCCTCTTCCAAAATTGTGAAATCCATGGCCCCAGGGTCAGGGGTTCTGGTGTAAGGGCGGGGCTCTATTGATTATATAGTGAGAATGCATTAATTCTGTGAAAATCTTCTCTGCTACTGGATATTTAATAAAGTAACTAAGTACATAGTTATGATGAGCAAGAGTGCTTCTACCAAAATTGTGAATTTCATGGCCCCAGGGTCAGGGGTTCTGGTGTTAGGTTGGGGCTCTATCGACTATATGGTGAAAATGCATTAATTCTTTGAAAATCTTCTCCTCTGCAACTGGGCATTTAGGTGATAAACTAAGTACATGGTTATGCATATACAGTTAAGTTGTAAAGAAAGTTGAATAAGGTATTACAAAAAACCATTTTTATGATGTCACATGACTGTGTTGAACACGTGACGGACACTTATAAATTTTCTTAAATGTTGCACAAAAATCGCATCGGCACAAGTGAAAAACAAAATTACTGTGAACGGCTTGTTACATAAATCAATTAAACGTATTCTTGGGTATATATAAAGTGCTGGGGGCAAGTCTGAATTTTATTTCATAAGAAAATATTTCACGAGAAATTCAACTTACCCACATACAAGGAGTCATTTTCCACTCTTCATCGCAATTTATACAAAATAGGATAAATTACATACGATCCCCCAGCAAAATTCAGTTAGAGGACATATTTCTCTAGTAAATTCACACAGAATATCTTCAATTAATCCTTATTATTCACTTGTGCCAGTCTAATATATACAAGATTTATAGATTCTGTCTACAGACACGTTAGGGGGGGGGGGCATTTCACATTCCTTTTTTTCAATTGTTTGAATACGTACATGTTAGACAAGAAAAAGTACTGCAAATATTCACCATCATTACAGCCTCAAAGCAACAATCCAGACAGATGAATTAAACATCAACGTAAAAAAAAATCTACATGTGATGTGAAAGGAATGTAAAAGTTATGACACTTTCCCCGTCATATCAGCTCAAGTATGCAGTGACTTGACGTCATATGCCATTATGACGTGATATCTAGGTAGTCCAGAGAAGTAACTACGGCTGGCACACTGTGACATTCCTCGGACAGCCTTATCCTAGCCGCGAGGTGGGCCTCTTCAGGAATTCTGAATGCCAGGGTCAGGGGTTCTGATGTTAGGGCGGGGCTATATTGATTATATAGTGAAAATGCATTAATTCTTTGAAAGTCTTCTTCTCTGCTCCTGGGTATTATTTAAACAAACTACACTGCTTGAAAAAATAGCTTTACAAAACTTTACTTGCAAAGTAAATCTCATTAAAGGTGCTCCAAAAAGCAAGGTCATCTTTGTATTAATTTTACAAAAAGTAAAGGTGAAAAGGTAACCTTTACTTAAAAGAAAAGGTAATTAAATTTAACCTTTCACCTTTAATGCTGCATTAAAGTTGATATATATATATATATATATATATATATATATATATATATATATATATATATATATATATATATATATAAAACTTTTTTAAATCCTTATTTAAATACTGGCCTTTGTTTAATACACTCGTACTTAAGATTTCAACAAATGGTTTTTGACTTTTAAAATAAATTGGTATCTGATGTGTCTTTTGTGTTACCCCCACCTCGATCTTACTAAAAATACACAAATTTTCAAGCGTTATATCAATTTCCAGTTTATTTAGTATTAGAGGTTGTCATCTACAAAATATAAAAATTTATACTATCTTTGTATACTGTAGATGGACAATCAAAAATGTAAAAATGGTATCAGATATCAGAATATAGATATAATAAACTTTAAAATTCCCTATGACTTAACCTTTAACTCATCTGATTTGCTGATATCTGATAGATGGAGAACTCTTTTTTATTTGCTTCTTGTGTAGATGTATTGAAACCTTTTCTGTTATAATTTCTGCTTCATAAATATCTACCAAAAACAGTTACAAACATTACAAGATTACATCTTTTACTTGAACAGGCAATAAAATGACAAAGAATAAAATTAAAAAAGGTTAAAATACAATACAATATTATTTATCCTTTATGGTGCATGTACATGTGTTAAAACTTTGCAGTTTAAATGGAACAAAAATGCCATACTCAGTTATTACTCAAGATCACTGACGAGAAACTACACAACATAAATCAGGCAAAGTACTAGTATTTCCAACTTAAACTATTAAAGGCTATCTAATGAGTATTTATGTACAGGTTAATAATGTTGACATCTTGTAAGCATAATGGTGCAATTTACATATTCACAAAATTGCTTAAACACCTATTAGAATATAGGTTCAGATGTAGTTTTGCAAGATGCACAAGTAAATGCATGTGTCCAGCTTCACGCAGTGAGCCTGTTTGAGCTTGACTTTATACTTTGGACTAAATGTTATGTGTATTGCGTCTGTGGTAGGAGATTATGTTTGCATACGTGTCCATCTTCACACGCTTTGGAAAATATGTAACTGGTTGTGGTAGATGCTTGTGTGTTTGCATATGTGTCCAGCTTCACACATTTTCATGTATGTGCTCGACTTCACACGCCTTGGAAAATATGTAATTGGTTGTGATAGATGCTTGTGTGTTTGCATACGTGTCCAGCTTCAAACATTTTCATGTATGTGCTCGACTTCACACGCCTTGGAAAATATGTAACTGGTGTTGTGGTAGATGCTTGAGTGTTTGCTTATGTGTCCAGCTTCACACATTTTCATGTATGTGCTCGACTTCACACGCCTTGGAAAATATGTAATTGTTTGTGATAGATGCTTGTGTGTTTGCATATGTGTCCAGCTTCACACATTTTCATGTATGTGCTCGACTTCACACGCCTTGGAAAATATGTAACTGGTGTTGTGGTAGATGCTTGTGGGTTTGCATATGTGTCCAGCTTCACACATTTTCATGTATGTGCTTGACTTCACACGCCTTGGAAAATATGTAACTGGTGTTGTGGTAGATGCTTGTGGGTTTGCATATGTGTCCAGCTTCACACATTTTCATGTATGTGCTCGACTTCACACGCCTTGGAAAATATGTAACTGGTGTTGTGGTAGATGCTTGTGTGTTTGCATATGTGTCCTGCTTCACACACTTTCATGTATGTGCTCGACTTCACATGCCTTGGAAAATATGTAATTGGTTGTGATAGATGCTTGTGTGTTTGCATATGTGTCCAGCTTCACACATTTTCATGTATGTGCTCGACTTCACACGCCTTGGAAAATATGTAACTGGTGTTGTGGTAGATGCTTGTGTGTTTGCATATGTGTCCAGCTTCACACATTTTCATGTATGTGCTCGACTTCAAAGGCCCTGGAAAATATGTAACTGTGGTTGTGGTAAATGCTGGAGTGTATGCATATGTGTCATGCTTCGCACAGAGAGAAAAGTTTTGTGTGCTCTTTTCTAGAAGATAATGATTATTTAAATATACTCCGAAATGGATAATCATAATGAGTTACATACTAAGTTCCTCAGTGCACAATATACACAATTTTACTGAAAATTAAACTTGTGCAAAAACTCTCTTGCTGAATGACTTTCATTATTATAAATGCTTGAATGTTCATCTATATATATTCTTGATCAAGATGGCATCCATATTTGATTCCCCTCTCTGTCATCTTTTCTTGGTCACCAATTAATTCAACAGTAGGCTGGGTACTCAGATCTCTCAGGTGTTGGACAAAAGAAGTGCTAATAATAAACATAATCTTTGAAATTATAGAGAATAACATCCATTTCTTTTCCAGGTTTGCATTAATTAGTTATCTTTTGAAATTAAAGCACTTCTGCAATAACCTTGAAAACTTGCCAAGATACGTTAAATGTCTGTAGCATGCTTTAACTACTTTAATTTTATTTTTGGAAGTTTAGAATAATAGAAAAACAAGTTCAAAAATAAAATGTAAAAGATCTTAATAATGAAGATTCATTCACACAATGTTATAACACATTGAAGTCAATTCCTCACCTGACTCTCATAATTTATCTTCATAATGGAGTTGATTCTATGATGATCACTTTCAACCATTTAAAAGAACTTCTTCATCTCAAACTATCTGAAGGTCATCCATCTACCCAACTGCCACTCACCTAAAGTGTACCGAGACTTCTGACCTGTATAATATCAAAATTCAAGATTAAAATTTAAAAAAATCCCTTCACCACACTGGTCTCTTTAAAAAATGTGAGAAAATAATTTAAATACTTTTCTGAAGAAGAAATAATGTAGTGAGTATCTAACAATGTTTAAAAATATTTTGATCACTGTACAGTGATAATGTATGAAAAAAGTCATGTCCCTTGTATTTGAAAAAAATTCCATTCTTAAGGACATTACCCAACATGGAAATAATGCACATTTGTCACTGGCACAATCAAACCACAAGAGACCTTTCCATACTTAGCACCATGCATTAGCTCTCCACTCTTTGTTTCTACAAAAGATAAATTATGAAAAGGTAATTTTTTGACAGCTAAGTCGGATTAATTATTGTCCAGTCAGTGATGAACAGAATATTTGATTTCCTTAATAATGAGGGACAGATTATTCATGTTTATCTTAAATGAACAAAGTTTGACCCCCCCCCCCCCCTCTTACAAAAAGGAAAAAATAAACTGACTCAGAAACTCCTATTTCAGTGAGGTAAAGGGAATAATGGCATTAGACAAGGAAAGATTATTAATCTTTTTTTTTTCAGTTGAGATGAGATTATATCTTTTAAACATTTTTGAGGTTAATATATTTTAACCCCCCCCCCTTCCCCCGCATCAAACAAAAAATAGTCGCCCCTTTATTTAGCTTTCCTAAATCTATAACAAAATTTTTATTATGATTTTTTCCATTTTAATTTATTATATCCTGACACTGATACCACCACTATATAGTAGATGCAACAACTTGAGAGGTGACCCCTCTTCTTCCCTCCCTCCCCTAGATGTTTCGTCTAAATGTTAAACGACTGTTGTTCAATATCTTGAAAGACAGAAAACAGTTATACACAAAAAATAAGCACATTTTCATTACCTTGCAGTCAGTGTCGAGTGACACACGTAAACAACATCTCGCAATCTCTTTGTTTATTCTTGGCGGAATTTTTGTTGCCTCGTAGACTGGTTCCCATACATTGCAAATGCCCTGAATAAGTCCTACGCTTATTAGTTTTGTTTATAAGAGGTAATATCAGTAATATATCCCGTTCATTTGACAACCTTTACTTTAAAATACTGAAATATATTTTATCATATATACAGATGTTTTCCACCTCAGTATTGTGTAATCCTCTTCATCCAAGTCTTCTCGAATACAAAACGAACGATCTACTTTTAACAGTAACCCAAATATGGTGGCAGGGGATAGTTTCGTACTAAAGACCCGGTCAAATTTCTTAAAAAATTGAGATATCCCCTGTTTGATGTGATATTTTATGTAGAAAAATGATTAGAATAATTATGGGACACATCTGCAGTGTAGCAGAGTGCTTGCTGAAAAAAATGATGTGCAACATGTAGGTGTCACTATGATGCTTATCATAAACAGAGTTGTAAATGCGAAACTAAGACACATGGTCAGTTGCAGAGGAAATTCAGCTGAAAAGCAGTAGGCCTTAGAAGAAGGTGTGTATCTCAGAGGGAAGGTGAATGACCCCATATCAGTTGGTGAATTTTTATTAGGGCTTGCATTGATTTACAGACTACTGAGTGTTTTATCCTGCTCGCTCGGGCCTGGGGGTGGGTTGTATGGGTGTGAATGAGGCCCAAATCTTGGAAAAACAAGCCAAAATTTGGGGAGTCCCCAGGTGCATTTTTGGTACATGTGCACTCTAATACGCAGATTACATGTAATTTGTTGACATAATTTGTGAGCCATGGGCATATGAAGTGTAATTAATTAGCCCCTGGAAAACTGTCCCCATGTACATGTTTTTATGGATCGCATGTATATGTGTACCCCCTCGGCACATGTTTGGCATTAAAAAAAACTATCCCCTGCTACCTTCAAGAAAACACCAATTTTCAGAAATATGTAATTTAGTCTAATTCTTCTCTAAATAAGTTTATTGATGCATGCCATTTTCAAAACTCACCATATTTCTTTCATTTGACTCTTATTCATTTAGGTAGAGAGACCTAAACACAAGGGGGGTAAACCTTTTCCAGTACACATTTTCAAAGAGTTTGAAGCATCAGCATAACAAATCTTAACAGAGTAAGGCAATTTTTTTCTGAGAAAAATTTATTTGCTTGAAAATAATAGTTTGGGCACTGTCACATATATTTTATCAAATTTTGATGCAATTACTTAGTAGTAATTAAAATTAAAGGGGCTTAATTATTGCGATATCACTGAAATTACATAAATTTACTCTTTTTTACATGTATTTCACTAAAATATCATTATTTAGAAAAAAGAATGAGTCAGTATGCAAAAATATCAGTTCACAGAACCACATTTATTGAAAGAATTGCTGTGCTTTAATTTTTTTTTTCAAAATAGACCCATTTTACTATTGATGATTACATAAAAAAATACCCCCTCCCCTTCATTTTCCCCCTCATTTGTCTTCTATAATGTGATAGAACTTAAACTTTTCATTATTTTCATATAGATTATATATATTTCTTTAAATTAGAACAAAACAAATGGTCTTTTTGCATATTTAATGGACAAAATATCAAAAATATGTACATTTTCATGTAATTATTGGATTCTACTAAGCACCTGAAATTTACTCACAAATGCCAAGTAAGGACAGGATGATCACTTTAAATATTCAGGGGAATCAAATGCATGTATTTGATCATTCAGATATGTTGAAATTGAATGAAATATACTCAGAAAAAGGACAGTCAGGAAAATCAGATTTCCACAGTATATTTTCAATAGAATCAGGTAATGGTTGGAGGGGTAGGGTAGATAACTGCAATTTCCAGGACACTTCTTCTTGAACCTTTGATGCAGGAGGGGTTTTTGTATATTACAATAAATATCCTGAAAAATAAATTAGGTTTTCTTTTTGCAAACAAGCTGTAGATGTATAAATTCAAGCAATTAAGAGGTAAAATGGGATTTCTCAAAACATCAAAAATGAGAGAGTATGTGTTACATGTGAATACATCTCATCAAGGCATGCAATTCTTATTGAGTTTTTTATATGTAGCTGCATTTGAAATTGATCAAAGTTACCATTAAACACTGTTTTGATAAGAAATAGTTTCTTTTGGATTGTAGGAGTTGGTCATTTTTGAAGTAACACAAAGAATATTGGGTTAAGGTGGTTGACCGACAATTGGTGGGGTCACTTATTTGCCTCTAACTTTTTTATTTTTCATTGAAATAAGACATATTTAGTATATTTATACTCAGAATTGATTGCACTTTCTAAATATGGAAAGTTATTTTAATTGAAAAGCAAACTTTGAAAGTTAAAGGTGGCAGGGGATAGTTTCGTACTAAAGACCCGGTCAAATTTCTTAAAAAACTGAGATATCCCCTGTTTGATGTGATATTTTATGTAGAAAAATGATTAGAATAATTATGGGACACATCTGCAGTGTAGCAGAGTGCTTGCTGAAAAAAATGATGTGCAACATGTAGGTGTCACTATGATGCTTATCATAAACAGAGTTGTAAATGCGAAACTAAGACACATGGTCAGTTGCAGAGGAAATTCAGCTGAAAAGCAGTAGGCCTTAGAAGAAGGTGTGTATCTCAGAGGGAAGGTGAATGACCCCATATCAGTTGGTGAATTTTTATTAGGGCTTGCATTGATTTACAGACTACTGAGTGTTTTATCCTGCTCGCTCGGGCCTGGGGGTGGGTTGTATGGGTGTGAATGAGGCCCAAATCTTGGAAAAACAAGCCAAAATTTGGGGAGTCCCCAGGTGCATTTTTGGTACATGTGCACTCTAATACGCAGATTACATGTAATTTGTTGACATAATTTGTGAGCCATGGGCATATGAAGTGTAATTAATTAGCCCCTGGAAAACTGTCCCCATGTACATGTTTTTATGGATCGCATGTATATGTGTACCCCCTCGGCACATGTTTGGCATTAAAAAAAACTATCCCCTGCTACCTTCAAGAAAACACCAATTTTCAGAAATATGTAATTTAGTCTAATTCTTCTCTAAATAAGTTTATTGATGCATGCCATTTTCAAAACTCACCATATTTCTTTCATTTGACTCTTATTCATTTAGGTAGAGAGACCTAAACACAAGGGGGGTAAACCTTTTCCAGTACACATTTTCAAAGAGTTTGAAGCATCAGCATAACAAATCTTAACAGAGTAAGGCAATTTTTTTCTGAGAAAAATTTATTTGCTTGAAAATAATAGTTTGGGCACTGTCACATATATTTTATCAAATTTTGATGCAATTACTTAGTAGTAATTAAAATTAAAGGGGCTTAATTATTGCGATATCACTGAAATTACATAAATTTACTCTTTTTTACATGTATTTCACTAAAATATCATTATTTAGAAAAAAGAATGAGTCAGTATGCAAAAATATCAGTTCACAGAACCACATTTATTGAAAGAATTGCTGTGCTTTAATTTTTTTTTTCAAAATAGACCCATTTTACTATTGATGATTACATAAAAAAATACCCCCTCCCCTTCATTTTCCCCCTCATTTGTCTTCTATAATGTGATAGAACTTAAACTTTTCATTATTTTCATATAGATTATATATATTTCTTTAAATTAGAACAAAACAAATGGTCTTTTTGCATATTTAATGGACAAAATATCAAAAATATGTACATTTTCATGTAATTATTGGATTCTACTAAGCACCTGAAATTTACTCACAAATGCCAAGTAAGGACAGGATGATCACTTTAAATATTCAGGGGAATCAAATGCATGTATTTGATCATTCAGATATGTTGAAATTGAATGAAATATACTCAGAAAAAGGACAGTCAGGAAAATCAGATTTCCACAGTATATTTTCAATAGAATCAGGTAATGGTTGGAGGGGTAGGGTAGATAACTGCAATTTCCAGGACACTTCTTCTTGAACCTTTGATGCAGGAGGGGTTTTTGTATATTACAATAAATATCCTGAAAAATAAATTAGGTTTTCTTTTTGCAAACAAGCTGTAGATGTATAAATTCAAGCAATTAAGAGGTAAAATGGGATTTCTCAAAACATCAAAAATGAGAGAGTATGTGTTACATGTGAATACATCTCATCAAGGCATGCAATTCTTATTGAGTTTTTTATATGTAGCTGCATTTGAAATTGATCAAAGTTACCATTAAACACTGTTTTGATAAGAAATAGTTTCTTTTGGATTGTAGGAGTTGGTCATTTTTGAAGTAACACAAAGAATATTGGGTTAAGGTGGTTGACCGACAATTGGTGGGGTCACTTATTTGCCTCTAACTTTTTTATTTTTCATTGAAATAAGACATATTTAGTATATTTATACTCAGAATTGATTGCACTTTCTAAATATGGAAAGTTATTTTAATTGAAAAGCAAACTTTGAAAGTTAAAGGTGGCAGGGGATAGTTTCGTACTAAAGACCCGGTCAAATTTCTTAAAAAACTGAGATATCCCCTGTTTGATGTGATATTTTATGTAGAAAAATGATTAGAATAATTATGGGACACATCTGCAGTGTAGCAGAGTGCTTGCTGAAAAAAATGATGTGCAACATGTAGGTGTCACTATGATGCTTATCATAAACAGAGTTGTAAATGCGAAACTAAGACACATGGTCAGTTGCAGAGGAAATTCAGCTGAAAAGCAGTAGGCCTTAGAAGAAGGTGTGTATCTCAGAGGGAAGGTGAATGACCCCATATCAGTTGGTGAATTTTTATTAGGGCTTGCATTGATTTACAGACTACTGAGTGTTTTATCCTGCTCGCTCGGGCCTGGGGGTGGGTTGTATGGGTGTGAATGAGGCCCAACTCTTGGAAAAACAAGCCAAAATTTGGGGAGTCCCCAGGTGCATTTTTGGTACATGTGCACTCTAATACGCAGATTACATGTAATTTGTTGACATAATTTGTGAGCCATGGGCATATGAAGTGTAATTAATTAGCCCCTGGAAAACTGTCCCCATGTACATGTTTTTATGGATCGCATGTATATGTGTACCCCCTCGGCACATGTTTGGCATTAAAAAAAACTATCCCCTGCTACCTTCAAGAAAACACCAATTTTCAGAAATATGTAATTTAGTCTAATTCTTCTCTAAATAAGTTTATTGATGCATGCCATTTTCAAAACTCACCATATTTCTTTCATTTGACTCTTATTCATTTAGG